TTCAGATATCATACAAATATATAAGTATAAACATTTATACAAATACATGCACATACATAATATACATGTACATATATATATATATATATATATATATAGGGAGGAGAAGAAGGGGTGAAATTGTCATAAATTGCTCAACTTAATCATGCCACCCAAACAACCAATAAAAGCCTCTCAAGTTAGTCCATTTAATGAGGAGTTAATGCATTTAATATAGGAAAACAACAAGGTGGAAATCGAACAACCAACAACAGGGAAAACAGGGAAAACAATATTGGGAAAAATAACTAGCATAGGAAAAGCCAGCAACAGGGAAAACAGGATAACAATATTGGGAAAAATAACTAGCATTGGGAAAGAGTTGGGCCAAGCCCGATAAGCAAAACAATCCAAAATAAATACCCAACAAACCACCAAAGAAGCTAGATCAACACAAGTGGAAACTAGAGTGAAACTTTCTAAGAGCACCAAACCCAAGCATGATCATAGGTTATTTTCCATCATAGGGTATTGCAAATAAATAAATAAAAACAAAGTCCAAATTACAAAGAGTCCAAAACATAGAAAAATAAAGAAAACTTAGATTAACAATTCTTGATTTCATCAGAAACTAATGTTTTTTTTCCAACTTCCATCTTTCTTCTACTTTTTTCTAGAGATCTTTAGCTTTGGATTGAAGTGCATAAAGTTGCAAGGAAAGTAGTATCTATTTTTAATGGATTGTGTGGGTTTGATGTGTAGCATTTGGAGTGGTGTTTTCAATATTTGATGTAGTTTTGATCTTATACAACTTGCAGTCCAAACACGATTTGAAGGGTAAAGACCAGTTGCTTTCTTTGATTAGATCGTATCCGGAGGGTCTTGCTGTTGTTGATGTGAAGGATTCATATGTATCAGTTATGGATGACTTACAGGTAAAATTGTTATGTTTAATAGCTTTCCTATTTCTGGATGATGCTAATGTTAACTTGCAGGTTCTTCTCGTTTTGAATGGTGTTTTTGTTTAACTTTTGCTATATTCCCATTTTGAATCATCAGGCATGGTGGTTTGAATTATAATCTAGTTGCAACAATAATAAATGTAAGTGTCAGAATAATATTAACACAAGCTGGGCAGAAGCCATAAAATCTTTTTTTTCATAGTAATAATCCTCCAATTAAGCTCGTCAACTTCATTTTCAGTTTTTCATAAGCTTCAGACATTTTTCAATTTTAGCTTATTGAGAAGTAAATTTGTCATCTAAACCTGTTCATCTTTCTTAAGCAAAAGATAGTGTTATGGTATATACACCTGATGAGGAATTGCTGTGGAAAGTAGAACAACATTAATAGTATGATAATTCAAAATGAGAGCTGTAATAAGAACTGATAACTGGTCTTTAAAAACACCTATTTACTCATGAAGAGGATTGTTCTTAAAACATGCTGGTTTGTATCAATTTTCAAGCTGATCAGAAAACACAAGTGTTTGGTCCCTTATACAATACTATTATTGATTTAGGATCATCACAGGCCTAATAGGAGTCTAACCAACCTTATTTTTTTAAAGAGCAGCTTAGCTTAGTTCATTTTCCTTTTCTGGGCTTGTTATGTTTGTGTTGGATATTTAATCTTTGTATTAGTGATCTCTATTCATTGCAAGTAAGGTTTTAATTGGTAATGTAAAGGATACTTGATGGACTAAAAAAAATCATGGTTTATCTCGTTCTTTCCTTATCCCTTACCTTGCTCCCCTTGGTCACTAACTCTGAGCTTCACTCATTTCTCTATCTATGCAGATCTCTTTTATCGTCCTTATCTTCCTCCTATACTTATTCCCCCATTCCACTCCAATACCAAGCTTATAACTACTTAATCTTCCCACGAAACCATCCCTCTTCCCTTCACAATACTTTCTCGTGTTAGTTCTCTTTTGTTTTTCCCACTGCAGTAAGAATCTACTTCTCATCACCTTCTTCTTCCAATCCCACCTACAGAACTAATCCACTCTAAATTTATGTAGGTATTGAAAGCAGCATGTCAGGTATGCTTTGTAAAATATGTTTTGTATATGTACTTGTTTAATTGTACGCGCACCAAGTGCATGCTGTTAGAACTTAATTCAAAATTAATAAAATATTATAGAATAAAAAAATATTGATTATATTGTTTATTTTAAATAGGTTTATTCAATAAATTTATCATTACTAATAGTTATACATATTATCTTATTTTTAATGATAAAAAAAGCATAATTCTAAAGATGATGTGATTATTGATGATAAAATTGAATAATATTTGGAGCGCATATATTGCAAATGTCAAATAACAAATAATATATATGAATTAATTATTGATAAAAATTTATGTTGCTGAGCGATATGTAATTTAAGATATGTCACAAACACATCTTGTTCATATATTATTGTCTATAATTTGTGAATATATTTTCATTTTTTTATGTTATTAATTGAATATTTATTTATTATATTGAGGTACTTATTCAGTCTCTACTATCAATGCAATATCTTGAGAAAAAAAATTCTTTCTACTTAATTGATGTTTCTATTTGGAAGATATGTTCTATTAGAAGATCAAATATGCGGTTAAGAAAAAGATAAAATGAGTTTAGAGCTTCTAATTGAATTTAATTGATTATTTTTTATACAAATGCACCTATTTTTGACTAATATGTTATAAACTATTAATCAAATACAAGACACATAAGAAATTATTAATGTTTATATAATATGTTATAAAGAAATAATTATATAATTTATAATGCCTACTTAAAACAAATTTATTCTTCAAAACTAAATTATTTAAAATATTTCTGCAATTTAACATTCATGTTTAACCCCCTCATTACTTTCTCATTAACAATATTTTAGCATCATACATCTAACTCTAAAATAATTTTTTTTTTCAATACTAGAAAGAGATTTGCATGAAAACAATTCTAGGGCATTATCGTCTAGATAAAGATGAAAACACACATAGTAATCCACAACAAATAATAATGTATAAAAAAACTAATTCATGCATTATCTGACCTATATTGTGTATATTATTCAATTATATAACGAGAGTTTTCCCCTTTTTTTTGGAAACATAATGACATTCATACCATTTAACTTAATAAAAATTACAGTACTTATTTGTGAATTTGCATTGACTTGTGCATGTGCTTCATTCATGATAATTAATAATGCACACATCTATCCATGACATAAAATTTAAGTTATACACAAAGAAAACATCTAATTCTTATAAGAAATCTTATAAAAAATTCCTTACACTATAAGAAAATGGGTTAATATCGACAAAAAATAGAGAAAAAAAGAAAATGATCGCTAAAGATATCTTTTAGCAACTAAAAGTAAGTAATGCCTCTAAATAATAAGGAAGCTTGATATTAACCACCAAAAAGAAAAATTGGTTGTTAATTTTGTCGCTAAAAGTTTAGATTTTTTTTTTAATACTTTTAACATTTTATATAATGACAATTATTCTTAAATAAAATTTAGGTCGAAGTATGAATGATTTGTTTAAAAAAAAAAATAATGTAATTGATTCATCATTCAATTTTTATAAAATAATGTTAGAGTAATCTTAAATTTGGCTCGAATCATATTTGTTCATATTATTGACTGTCATACGTTTCGCATATCCGGGGTCCAAGGGGGTAGTACCCTAACGAGGATATTTTTGAAATTCAAATTAATAAATAAAATAATGAATTCAAATTAATATTTATATTTTTAAGATGAGAAATCTAATAATTTATGTATAAAATAAATAATAATATAAATTATTTAAAATTTAACAATTACTTATATAAATAAAATTATACTTAACAATTAAGCAAAACTTATACTTACGTTTCTCGTGATCTCACCTCTCACGCATTTGGTTGCTATCGATTTCGCTCCTTTCTGCCCTAGGTCTTTAGCGACGACCTCCAACCGTGCGATCGACTCTCCATTTAGCGGCCACGACTCCACATCTCTTTGTTCGCGCTCGCTGATTTGAGTTCCCTCTCTCAAAATTATTTGGACAGTCCTGCAAACTCACCTATGTCGGTTTCTTCCGCTCATGTTATCTCTAATAATCTTCTTCATCTTTTCATTTAAAAATTCTACGATCTCCTTTATAATATGTTTGCCCCACATTTTCATGGTAGCATCCAATATTATTAATTGTTATAGTACCTAAAGAGGTTACGATTGTACTCTTATGCAATAATGTTGATATTTGCTCTGGTTTTTGTTTAAGTTCTCAGATTTTGATATATGTTTTGATTTTCTTACTAATCAGTAATATAATTTTGAGTTGTTTTTAAGTTTATTTGTAACTTTTATATTATAAGAATGAATTGAGATTAGATTAGATGCATGAATTGTTAATTACTATAATTTTTTTGATGTATTTGGATCATTGGATGATTATCTTAGACTCACGCAGAGTTTTTATTTTACTAGTTAGATCTTCTAGATTTAGAACTAGTTGCAACAAACATATCTGGTTGAGGTTGCAATTAATTAAATATTTTTAGCGATGAATTTGTTGTAGTTTAATTTGTAAATATTTGAGATTTTATTATGTAAGCTATTTGATTTAATTTATATAATCCAATCCGAAGTTTTGAATTTTCTTTTTCTTTTTATCTTCAAAACTTCAATTTCACTTTGATTAATTAGCTTATATCCATGATCTAATCAATTCAATTTGAATTAATGAGATATTTTACTTTATGCAAAATTTAGTAAACACATTTATAATAAATCATGTAAATACACATTTAATCAATTTTAAAAAAAATAATATTGGTTATTTTTATTTAATAGATCTATCTAACGTAAAATTAAAACCTATAATTTATTAAATTTGATTTGTCTAAACAATTGGTAATTAGATGAAAATGAATTGTTTATTTTAATAGTTAGTCATGATTTTTTTAAAGGTAATTAATTTATGCTTAATTGTACTAATAATATTATTTTGACTTAGGATTAATTTATTATCGTAAGCTACATATTCTTCCTCTCCTATTTTCATTATAATCATTGCTGGCAATGAACTTTTATTATCTTCTTCAAACTTTATGTTTTTTCATTTATATTGATGTTTTGTTGTATTCATAAAAAAAGTTTCAAATAAGAAATATTTTGAAGCGTATCATTTATGAATATTTAGCTAAATTTTGAATAATTTCTAAAAAGGATAGAAAATTAGTCATATAATAATTATTTTTGTTTGATTATTTTGTTAGGTCAAATCAATAGATAAAAGTTGGATTAATCTCAATGATAGATATTTGAGACAATATACAGATGAAGTCACAACATTTATTAAATTTGCCCAAGAAAATAATTCTTAAAAGCAGAAGATTCATTGCCCATGACGATATTATGCAAATGTCTTTTTTCAGACATAGTGTTGTAGAGAATTATTTACTAATTAATGTAATACAAAAATCGAACATTAAGTGTACATGTCATGGGGAAATTTCCCAGGCTTTAAGTGACGCGGATTTAGACAGAATAAATATGAATGATCTTAATAATACAAATGAAGAGATTGATGAGATACAAGAAATCTTATATTAGAGGATATGCATAGGAGAATTTTCATGAACTCTTGTCCCAACAATTTATCAAATGAGGAAGGTGATAATATCATCGACAAAGATGAAATAACTATATTTGGTAGATTATTGAAGGATGTACAACGTGATTTATACCATGTTTCAAATTTATCTATATTGTCTACTTTTTTAAAGTTACTATACATTAAAGTACTTAATCGTTAGACAAATAAATTATTTAATATGATTATTGAATTCATAAAATCTATTTTGCTAAAAGGAGAAATACTTCCGTCTTCTTATAAAATCTGAAACATAGTATAAATCATGTTGTGCATCTTTTAGTAG